GGTGGACAGTGGTATTTGTTATAGTGAGACTGTGTTGAAAACAATGTGGCAACAGGAGAATGCTATTTGCAAAGGCTTTTCCCATCCTGTTTTTCACAACAGTTCAGCTCCAGTTGTCAGAGACATGGCCAACTCTGGTATTAAAGTCCCCAGACAGATTTTTTTTTTTAAGAAGGCAATGAGAAAATAAAGAAAATGCATGGCACAGAAAGAAGCTATTTAACCTATCATATTTTGTTAGCTGATAAAGAGCTAATCAGCTTAATCTCACTTTCCAACTCTGATTTAAAGCCCTGTAGGTTACAACACTTCCAAGTGCATGCTCAGGTGTTTTTTAAATCCAATGATGATTTCTGCCCCTACCCTTTCAGGTAGCTAGTCACACCAAAGTAATTTCTAGCTTTGTAAAAAATTGTTCGTGGAATGTGGACATTGTTAGCCAGGGCAGCATTTATTGCATCCTCAAATGGTCATTGGATAAACATATGGATGATAATGGAATAGTTTAGGTTAGATGGGCTTCAGATTGGTTTCACAAGTCGGCGCAACATTGAGGGCCGAAGGGCCTGTACTGCGCTGTAATGTTCTATGTTCTATGTTCTATTTCCCTCGAGAAGATGGTGGTGAGTCACCTACAACTGAATGGCTTGCTCAGGTCATTTCAGAGGGCAGTTAAGAGTCAACTGTATTGCTGTTGGTCTGGAGTTACATGCAGGCCAGACAGGATAAGGTCAACAGATTTACTCCCTAAGGGACATTAGTGAAGTAGATGGGGTTCTTAGAAGTTTAAAGCTTACTATCAAACAGATCAGCTTGTTAGTCCAGTTGATTTGAATAATTGGGTTTACTCCACCAGCTGCCATGGTGAGATTTAAAGAGATGTCTCAGAGCCTTCAGGCTACAGGTAAGCATATCAGGATCTGCACCTGACACACCTAAAAATTAAGTGTCAACCTGGTAAAGCTACAACATAAGACTACTTGTATTGCAAACAGCATTAAAAGCAATTGAGATGGGGGTTATGCAATTCCGGAAACAATGGATCAGATCTAAGTTCTGTAATCTTTCTACATCGTGAATGATGATTGACAATTAAGCAACTCACTGGAGTAGGAGATTTCACAAGAAACAGAAAAATAGGAGAATGGGTAGTCCATTTGGCGCTTCAAGCCTGCTCTGCCAATTCGCTATGATTGTGGCTGAACATCCAACTCAGTAGCTTGTTCCTGCTTTATCCTCATACCATTTGAACCCTTTAACCCTAAGAAGTAAATTTAACTCCACAAATATTCCCAACCTCAATGATGGGTCCCAGGACATCAGTGCAAAAGATCAGGCTGAAGTATTTGAAACCATTTTCAACCAGAAAATCAATCCATTCTGGCCTCCTCCAGAGATCTGCAGAATCACATGCGCCGACCAGTCCCCCTCCACTGACACCCTTATCCGCTTAGCCGAACTCGTCCTCACCCTCAACAACTTCTCTTTCAATTCCTCCCACTTCCTACAGACAAAGGGAGTGGCCATGGGTACCCGCATGGGCCCAACCTACGCCTGCCTCTTTGTAGGTTACGTGGAACAATCCCTCTTCCGTACCTACACTAGCCCTAAACCCCACCTCTTCCTCCGTTACATTGATGACTGTATCGGCGCCACCTCGTGCTCCCACGAGGAGCTCGAACAGTTCATCCACTTCATCAACACCTTCCACCCCAACCTTAAGTTCACCTGGACCATCTCTAACACCTCTCTCCCCTTCCTGGACCTCTCTGTCTCCATCTCAGGCAACCACCTAGAAACCGATATCCATTTCAAGCCCACCGACTCCCACAGCTACCTAGAATACACCTCCTCCCACCCACCTTCCTGCAAAAATGCCATCCCCTATTCCCAATTCCTTCACCTCCGCCGCATCTGCTCCCAGGATGAGGCATTCCACTCCCGTACATCTCAGTTGTCCTGGTTTTTCAAGGACCGCAACTTCCCCCCCTCAGTGGTCGAGAACGCCCTCGACCGTGTCTCCCACGTTTCCCACAACTCATCCCTCACATCCCGTCCCCGCAATAAGAATCAAAAAAGAATCCCCCTCGTCCTCACGTACCACCCCACCAACCTCCGGATCCAATGCATCATCCTCCGACACTTCCGCCATTTGCAATCCGACCTCACCACCAAAGCCATCTTTCCCTCCCCACCCTTATCTGCTTTCCGGAGGGACCACTCTCTCCGTGACTCCCTTGTCCGCTCCACACTCCCCTCCAGCCCCACCACACCCGGCACTTTTCTCTGCAACCGCAGGAAGTGCTACACCTGCCCCCATACCTCCTCCCTCACCCCCATCCCAGGCCCCAAGAAGACTTTCCACATCAAGCAGATGTTCACCTGTACATCTGCCAATGTGGTATACTGCATCCGCTGCACCCGTTGTGGCCTCCTCTACATTGGGGAAACCAAGCGGAGGCTCGGGGACCGCTTTGCAGAACACCTACGCTCGGTTCGCAATAAACAACTGCACCTCTCAGTCGTGAACCATTTCAACTCCCCCTCCCATTCCTCAGACAACATGTCCATCCTGGGCCTCCTGCAGTGCCACAACGATGCCACCCGAAGGTTGCAGGAACAGCAACTCATATTCCGCTTGGGAACCCTGCAGCCCAATGGTATCAACGTGGATTTCACAAGCTTCAAAATCTCCCCTCCCCCTACCGCATCCCAAAACCAGCCCAGCTCGTCCCCGCCTCCCTAACCTGTTCTTCCTCCCACCTATCCCCTCCTCCCACCTCAAGCCGCACCCCCATCTCCTACCTACTAACCTCATCCCGCCCCCTTGACCTGTCCATCCTCCCTGGACTGACCTATCCCCTCCCTAACTCCCCACCTACATTCACCTTTACTGGCTCCATCCCCGCCTCTTCGACCTGTCTGTTTCCTCTCCACCTATCCTCTCCTCTAACCATCTTCTATCCACCTCCCCCTCTCTCCCTATTTATTTCAGAACCCCCTCCCCCATTTCTGATGAAGGGTCTCGGCCCGAAACGTCAGCCTTTCTGCTCCTATGATGCTGCTTGGCCTGCTGTGTTCATCCAGCTCTACAGCTTGTTGCCAGTTTCAGCTGATCTGATTTACTCCACATAATATAAAGAAATAGTTGAAGGTGCTGGATAATGCAAAGGCTATGGGTCCTGATGATATTCCGGCTACTGCAAACTTGTGCCCCAGGACTTGCCATTCCCCAACCAGCCTGTTTCAATAGCTACAACCTTGGCATCTACCCAGCAATATTGAAAATTCCACCATTACATACACAAAAAGCAAGACAAATTTAAGCTGGTCAATTATTGTTCCATCAGCTTATTCTCAATCATCAGTAAAGTGATGAAGGGGTCACCAACAGTGCTTTCAAGCAGAATTTGCTGAGCAATAACCTATTTATTAGTGCTCAGTTTGGGCTCCATTGGGGCTACTCATTATAGCTTTGGTCCAAGTCAGAAGTCACACAACATCAGGTTATAGTCCAACAGGTTTATCTGAAATCACACAAGCTTTTGGACCACAGCCTCTTCGTCAGGTGCAGTGCCGACTTAATTTTAATTTTTTGTAATTATCTCTCTGTCTCACTTAATCGGATTATAAGTCATCCCTTCACTGGTTATTTAGCTTTTGACACTTAACTCACTGTCTAACACACTTGGTCACCTGCAGAGACTTATCATCTGACATCTGCTCACACCAGTTGTACAATCTTTTGATCCCTCTGCCCTTGATGTTTTGCCTATAAACTCTGGGTCTGTGTGCTCTGCTCTCTCACTGCATATGACGAAGGGGCTGCACTCCAAAAGCTTGTGTGATTTCAGATAAACCTGTTAGACTATAACCTGGTGTCGTGTGCCTTCTGACTTTGTCCACCCCAGTCCAACACCAGCACCTCCACATCATAGCTTTGGTCCGAACATGGGCAAAAAAAAAAGCTGAATTCCACAGAGGAGGTGACATCAAAGCAGAATTTGACTGAGTATGGCATCAAGGAGCCCCAGTGAAACTTGAGTCAATGGGAATTGAAGGGAAATACTAAAAGTTACACCAAGCATAAAAGTAGAGGATTACAGTTGTTGAAGGTCAGTCAACACCGCCACCTGCAAGTTCCTCTGCAAACCACTTATCATCCTGACATGGAAGTATAATCACCATTCTTTCAGTGTTGCTGGGTCAAAATCCGTAACAGTTGGTGTACCCACAACATGGACTGCAGTGGTTCAAAAAGCCAGGTCACCATGACCTTCTCAATGGCAATAAAAGCTTACCCAGCCAGCAATGCCCACCTTTTCTGAATTAAATTTAAAAATGTCTGTCTGTGGATTACTTGTCCATCCATGCTACTATTAAGCTACTGATGCCCTTAAAAAGGTAAAATGCAAGTTTTCAAGTTGTGATTATAGGTTTTCAGAAAATTATACTGTTCAGCAGACTTTCTGGTAAGGAAAATTCTACTGTGTTAAATTGTTTGTTGCTAATGATTTGAGACTTGATAAAATTAAACCAATACATCAATACCAATAATTCCTAATGCCCCAATATTGTGTTCTCTGTCCATTAAGTTGACAGATTTTAAATTCTTGGTGGGCGCGCAAACTCATTTTGCAGCATTTCCAGATATTTCCAACCTCATCTTCATTTTGATAAAAGGTCGTCACCATAGTCTTACCAGACCATAGGGTTGCTCTCTCATTTGAGAGAGACACCTGGTGGTGACTTAACCCGAGAGTCACTACGCCTCAGGCGAGGGGAGACGTTGAGAAGATCCCTTCATAGTAACCTCAGCTAGTGCGTAAACTGAACCCCCACACTTTTAGCATCGTACTGCGTCGCAACGCGCCAGCCAATGAACTAACCGACACCCTTGTTTTTGATGACCTTCAATTAAATAATTTTGTGTAAGTTAATTTCACAAAACCCAGTTTCATCCTGAATGTTAACGACATAAACAAGGTATGATTCTAGTCAAGGTTGAAATTGAGTCTTGTTGAAGCTCTTTGAGCCTCCGCGATGTTAAGCACCCACTACCGGCTGGACTTGGAAGAGGGAGCAGAACCGGATACATTACTGGCGCCGGAAGTGCGTCGTAGTGAAAGTGCCTTATCTCTTACAATGGCTTCTGTGAGAGCGGTGAAGAAGTCGCTGAATGTAATCCGTCTGCATCGGCACAATGAGACATTGCTTTTCCCAATGGTGTGGTTGGGTATGTTAGACAAACTATTAGCCGATCGGAAAACATTTTACTTCGTGACGCAGTTTACGATATTAAAGCCTACATTTCGGTTTGCAGAGTCGGAGGCCTAGGCCAAATCTCCCCGTCCCGTTTGCGTGGACCTGGATCGCAGGGAGGGAGGTGACCTAGCCTGATGGGGGAGGATGTGCCACAAGTTGAATATCGAGGCTGAGGATTTTAATATGCTTGGAAAGCAGCAGTTTCTGCACAAGGTATTTGTATCGTGCCTCTGCTTTTTTTAAGTCGTTCTTGGTAATGATGCGGAGGTGCTGGTGTTGGACTGGGTAGGACAAGGTTAGGAGTCACACGACACTAGGTTATAGCGCTCCTATGATGCTGCTTGGCCTGCTGTGTTCATCCAGCCCTGCACCTTGTTGACTAGCCCAGCAGGTTTATTTGGAGTCACAGGCTTTCACAGTGCTGCGTCTTTGTTAGGTGAAGTGCAGAGAGGCACAAGCACAGAATTTATAACTCATCAAAGATTAAAGGAATGGTGTGAGTGGAGTGTTGACAGGTTGAATAATAAGCCACTGCAGGTGATCAAAAGCATCAGATGGTGTGAATAAAGTGTCAGTAGCTGAATAGCAAGTGATCGCTCTGCTATAAATTCTGCGCCTCTCTGCACTTCACCTGATGAATGGACAAGGCTTTGAAAGATTGATTACAAATAAACCTGTTGGACTATAACCTGGTATCGTGTGACTTCTGACCTTTTGTTCCCAGTAATTTTGACTGTTTGTTTGACTGGATGATGATGACCTTTACACGTGTTAGACTTCTGATGCAAATGAAGAAGGCTAGAATCTGATTCCAGTCTAAAATAACATCACAGTAGTGATTGTTTATATCTTCAAGTGACATTTTAACTATGTATGTTAACTTTCTTTTTCTAGACATAACGAATTTAACAAAGTTAACTGGCAAGGAATGTCAGCCCAATAATGAGTAAGTTGAAATATTCAGTTACAGGTAGTGAAGGAATAAATCTGTAAATTGAATGTTTCCTGATAGTTGGGGGTGGGATATATTTAGAATAGAAGAAATCTTGTTTTCAGGGGCTTGGAGACTGGGAAGAGACTATCGCAACCTCTGATTGAAGGGAGAATTTGGATTAGGATTGCTGATACAGAGGGCTAATATGAAATAGGGTTGGTTGGGGACAAATGAGCTGTTTTTGTAGTTTTAGTTTTGATACCTAGTGGGAATCCAATGAAAGATTAAATTTAATCTTGTTTTAAATCTTTAATGATTTTAGGTGTATTTATTAAAGTTGATTGGATTTTAAGAGAACTGTCTGTAGACCATTAATTAATATCCATGAGTCCCACAAACTGAGAAGTAGTTAATGTCTTGACAAATTCACATTGTCCAGACAACCTTGCTGGAACATAATGGAATCTCTGCATCCTGAACTATCAAAATGATTTTGAGGTTAACTGTGTAGGCTAAACTTGGGAAGCTGTTCGGCAAAAGTGCTGTTGCTAACTCAAGTGAACCGTGACTAATTTTGTAACAATTATTTAACTTTCTTATTGATTGCTGTTGATTTCATCTAGGATTCAGAAATGTGATGGATTGCATCTGGAATGACTCCTGGAGTGGTGTGCTTTGAAATCAGAAGGCTGTCTTGCAGAAACTCCATCAATTTTTAAACTTTTGCACTGAAATTTGAATGTGAATTGTGACTTTTCCAGCCTTTTGCCTTCATCTTTTTAAACTTGGCATTGCTGGATTTGTGATGTGCAACAGGTGATAGAATTAACAATCATTAGGTGTTTCAGCTGTATGGTAAATAAAATCACTGAGCTGTTAATATGGAGTAAAATTTTAATGACAAATAAAATTTTGTCTCCTTTTTAAGTAAATAGTGGTGACTTTGGTTTTTTATTTTAAATTTTAAAAAATTCCTTTTCAGATTCAAGATCTTAACTGGGGAGCCAGAATTCTTTCCAGGTAGCAGGTAGATGTTCACAAAACACAGGCATGTATTGGTTGGGACATTCTTCTGTACTGCTTTTGATTTTTATATTAATGACTGGGAAGGAGGAGGGGAAAACACTTCAAAAATTTGTGACAATTTGCATGTGTAATAAATTGAGAGAATCTTTGAGGACTTGGACAAATGTTTAAACTGGGCAGACGTAGGAAAATAAATTCAATGTAGAAAGATGCGAGGTGATGTATTTTGGTAGGAAGAATTGATATCAACTTGAGTCTTGTATCACTTCCTTTTTAATATAATGGAATGGACGAAGGAGCTCCACAGCACAGTAACATTCTAAAATAAACTTCAAAGGAGGGAATGGAGGTAGCAAGATGAAGAGGTATTAGAGAGCTTAGGACTGAGGCAACTGAAGACAGTTACCTGTGTTAATATGGGGGATGCACAGAATGCCAGAATTAAAAGACCACAGCTAGGTCAGTTGGGGATGCTGAATGAGATGAGATAGGGAGGGACAAGGCCCTGTGGGATTAGTAAAAATGAATGAGAACTTTAATCAAAACGCTTGGTCAGGAGGGTGTTGATAAGGAGAGGGTAATGGTTGTGGTTTATATAGATTTCAGCAAGCCCTCTAACAAGGTCCCTTGAGGGACACCTAATAAAGAAGGTAAAAGCACAGGGGATCCAGGCCGACTTAGCAAGTTGGATCCAAAACTGGCTCGGAAGACAGTGGTGGTAGAAGGCTATTTATATGACTGGTGTGGTGCAGTGACAAGACATCCATACTGGGTCCACTAATGTTTGTAATATTCATAAATAATGTAGATGATAATGCATGGGGTGGTGATAAGTTTGCAGATGACACCAAGATTGGCCAGGTGGTTGACTGAGGAAGAATGTCTTAGGTTACACAGTTATATAAATGGATTGAGCAGATCAGTGGGAATTTGAATTTTATGCTGATGAAAGTGAGGCACTTTGGAAAAAGTAATTAGGGCGTACATAATAAATGGCAGGAACTTGGGGATCTTGTAGGCAAGCACCCCATCACCCTGAAGGTGATAGGACAGATTCTTTAGTTAAAGGCAAACATCCTTTATGCTTTCTTATCAATTAAAGCATGGATTATAAGAACAGGAGGTCATGTTGGAACTGTACAGAACTTTGGTTAGGCATCGTGTGCAGTTCTGATCACTCCACTGGTGTAGGTGCAGAAGAGATTCACCAGGATGTTGCTTGGGATAGAGCATTCCAGCTATGAAGATAGGATGGATAAGTTCAAGTTTTCTTTGGAATAAAAAAGGTTTGGGGGGAACCCAACAGAGGTGAATAAGTTTAAGGAATAAAAAGCAGCAGTTTCCCTTTGTTGAAGGTGCAACAACACAGGAGATTTAGAGGGGATTTGATGGAACAGTTTTTCACCCAGAGGTTGAAGGGGTCTGGAGAGTTGGGATAAATGAGTTTTTTTTTCTGGATGGCAAGAAGGAACAAATGAGGTGCCACAAGGTTCAGTCCTTGGCTCCCAGCTATTTACAATCTAGATGAATAACTTGGATATGGGAATAGAAGGCTCTGTAGCCAAATTTGCGAATGACACAAAAATAAGTGGGATAGTAAATAACAAAGGAAATAAGAACCTTACAAATGGATATAGATAGGTTAGGAGAGTGGGCCAAAATGTAGTAGGTGGAGTTTAATGTGGATTAAGTGTGAGGTCATGCATTTCGCTTGGAAAAATGGGAATGTGACTTACGATCTAAGTGGGGGAACAGACTTTGGGATATGCTGGTGCAGAGCAATCTGGGTGTCCTCGTTCATGAGTCACAGAAAACTAGCATGCAGATAATAAAGTGAATGGAATGTTGGGCTCTTATAACTAAAGGAGTAGAATATAAAGGTAAGGAAGTATTGTTGCACCTATACAAGGCATTGGTGAGACTGTACCTAGAGTACTGTGCAGAGTTTTGGTCCCCTTATTTGAGGAAGGATACAGTGGCATTGAAGGCAGTTCAGAGGAGGTTCGCTAGATCTGAGATGAGGGGTTTGTCATATGAAGAGAGTTTGAACAGTTTAAGTCTATACTGTCTGGAATTTAGGAGAATGAAGGGAGATCAAATTTGACGTATTTATGATCAAAAGATATAGATAAAATTAGACGTGCAGCAGATGCTCCCTCCTATTTCTAGGATGAGGGGTCGTAGCAAATTTAGGACAGAATTGAGGAGAAACTAACTAGTCCCAAAGGGTGGTGAATCTGTGGAATTCACTACCCCCAAGAGCAGTGGATGCTGGGACAGTGAGTAAATTTGAGGAGTTAGATGGAGTCTTTTATTGGTAATGGGTTGAAGGGTTATGAGGGTGAGGAGCATATCAGCCATGATTGAATGGCAGAGCAGACTCAGTGGGCTGAATGGCCTAATTCTGCCCCTATTTCTTATGACTTGGTGTCTAACATTCAAGGCTATGGGTCTATGGCAGGTAAACGGGATCAGTGTAAGCAGTGGTGTTTGTTTTTGCAGTATAGACTTAATCACAGAGATCTACAGCATGGAAACAGACTCTTCAGTCCAACTCTTCCATGCTGACCAGATATCCTAAATAAATCTAGACCCATTTGCCAGCACTTAGCCCATATCCCTCTTAAAACTACCTATTCTTATACCATCTAGATGCCTTTTAATGTTGTAATTGTACTAGCCTCCACTTCCTCTGGCAGCTCATTCCATACAAGCACCACACTCTGCATGAAAATGTTGCCTCTTATGTCCCTTTTAAATCTTTCCTCTCTCACCTTTAACCTATGCCCTCTAGTTTTGGACTCCCCCACCCTAGGGAAAAGACCATGAAGGGCCTCTATTGGATATGGGAGTAGTTATGTGGACAGCTTGAATAAACCGTTAAAATATAGAACTACCTTGCATGCCAAACAGAAATGGCATTGGATAGACTAATTAAAGAATCCCACAATGATTGCATCAGATTAAAGCTCTACAGTCCTGTCACATCCAGTGATGGTGTACAGTTAAGCAACCAACAGGAGGTCCACAAATATTCCATCCTCAATGATGAGGAGACCGCATATCAGTGCAAATAACAAGGCTGAAGCATTTGCAACTGTCTTCAGCCAGAAGTACTAAATAACCTCCTTGAAGCCTTCACCATCGCAGAAGCTAGTGCTCAGCAATTCAATTCAGTCTGTGATTCAAGAAATGGGCTGAACTAATGAACAGCAAGAGCTACGGATCCTGACAACATCCCAACCATTACTACTTAATTCTTGTGGTCCCAACAAAGTTGTTCCAGTATAGCTACAACACTAGCAGCTATCTGGCACTTCCACGGTGTCAAAAAGCTGGACAAGTTCAATGTAATCACCACCCATCAAACCACTCTAACAAAAGTGATGGAGGGTATAATTAGTGTTACCAAGTGATACTTAGCAATAATGTGCTCACTGTTACTCCATTTGGGATCTTCTGGGGCCACCTGGCTCCTGACTTTATTACAGCTTTGGTCAATTCGACAATACAAGAACTGAACTCTAGAGGAGAGGAGAGAGTGACTGCCTTTCATTAACAGCATTTAAATATGTAATTAAGTTAATGGAAATTGTGGAAATTCACCATTGGTTAGAGTTGCATCTAGCACAATGGAAAATAGTTCATTGAAGACCAATCATTTTAACCCAAGATATTGCTGGAGTTTCACAAGGTTGATATTATTACTACCCCCTGGAGTAGGTGGGAACTTGAATTCGGGGCAACTGGCTCAGAGTCAGGGATAATGGCACCACAAGAGCCCTTAGTTTCTCAGGGGAGTGTTGAGACCCAACTATCTCCAGTTGTTTCTTCAACTGCATTCCTTCCAACTAAGTTCAGGAATAGGGAGATCAATAAGGTTTGCATTATCTTCAGTAACATTTGTGATTCTTCAAAACACGAAGCAGTCCTTGTCCATATACTGCAAAACTTTGACAACATTCAGTGTTGGGTTGATGAGTGGCAAGTAACCTTCATGTCACACAAGTGCCAGGCAATAACCATCTCCAACAAGAGAATCTAATCAGCTCTGGTCAACATTCAATGGTATTGCTATCATTGAATCCACCACTAAAGTCCCAGGGGTCATCAACAACAGAAATGTTCCCCTGAGCCTAATCAACATATACGCCCCGGTGACAAAGAATGAGCGGCTGGCCATCCTACAGCAACTCCTACTGCTGCTGAGTCAGGCCAGTCATTTTGGCTAGAGATTTCAACTGCATCATCGATTCCTAATGGCAACAGTTAAAGTCACCAAGCTGCACATATTCAGCATCCCTGCAGATGGAGCACAGTGTAGATAGACCTGGTCGCAGCCAGACAGTCTATCTGCTTAAGGATACATTTCCTGTTTGTATCCTGCATACTTTTTGTCAGATCCACCAATGTCATGCTGGTGTTCTTCTCTGACCACTGCCTCCTGTGGGCCAACTGTCACCTACAGGACGACTAGCAGGCTAGCAAGGGAACATGGAAACTGAATGTGAAACTGTTAACTCCAGAAAACAACGAGAAGCTCAAAAGGGATTACACAGGTTGGAGAACTGTGACGGGCCTCTGAGTCTCCAATGGACTGTTGGGAAACAGTCAAACGGAACATCAAGAGGTTCTTTATCCTCAGAGGTTTTCCGAAGGTGAGTGAGAGACAGGGAAAAATATCCAAACTCCAGAAAACCATACAGAACCTACTCCTGCTGCAGATGATGGGGGTCGATGTCACAGAGGATCTCCATGCTTGTCTTTCTTCTAGAAGGAGCACGAGAGGTCAGTGCTCAGCAGACTTAAGGGAAGAAGTTGGCTCAGTAACATCAAAGTCCAACATCCTGAGGATCAGCAAATCCTTTTATGCCAGACAGTATGACATGAAGCCCACAGACAGCATGACCTCCCTATCATTCCTGTCCTCTGTCACGGAAGTCTTATGTGACAGCACGCGGGATAGATCATAGAATCCCTACAGAGTGGAAACAGGCCCTTCGGCCCAACAAGTCCACACCCACCCTTGCAGCATCCCACCCAGACCCATTCCCCTATAACCCATCTAATCTACACATCCCTGAAGTCTACAGGCAATTTAGCATGGCCAATCCACCCAGCCTGCACATCTTTGGACTGTGGGAGAAAGCCAGAGCACCCAGAGGAAACACACGCAGACACGGGGAGAATGTGCAAACTCCACACAGGCAGTCACCAGAGGGTGGAATCGAACCTGGGTCCCTGGTGCTGTGAGGCAGCAGTTCTAATCAATGAGCCACTGTGCTGCCCAAAGGTTGGACCATCTTTATCTCTGAATGAGTTGACCAAGACCCTAGAGTCCATAGGAAAGGATAAAACTCCCAGAAGTGACGGTTTACTGGCGGAGTTGTATTCAGCTCTTTGGGACTTGATTGGCCTGGGCCTGCTGAAGGAGTACCACAGTGTGCTTCTGGCAGGTAGCATGTGTGAATCCAAAGGTATCATCACCCCCATCTACAAGCAGAAGGGGAAGGAGGAAGAAATTAGAAATTGGCAACCAATTTCACTTTTAAATGTGAGATTACAAAATCCTGTCCATGATCATCACCAATAGCATCAGGTCTGCTCTGGGATCGGTGATTCCACCGACCAAACCTGTGCTGTACCAGGCAGGATGATCTCTGAGAACCTCATGTTCCTCAGGGATACGATCGTCTATATGCAGGATGGCAGTTAGAAGTCTGCCTTATTAGCCTGGACCAGGAGAAGGCCTTTGACACAATATTGCACACTAACATGGGGGATATGCTCTCCAAAATGGGCTTTGGAGAGAGAATCCATAATTGGATCTGACTGCTCTACACCAACATCAGTAATGGCAGTCTCAACCAACGGGCCAGAATCAGAAAACTTCCCAATGAGATTTGGAGTAGGGCCGCCCGCACTCCCCTGCCTTGTTTGTGTGTTGTATAGAGCCTTTTACTAAGTCCATTGGGAAGGATGTGAACCTGAGCGTGGTGATTATTCCAGACAGTGTAGGCCTGCAGGTCAAAGTCTCCTCATACATTGGATGGCGTCACCCTTTTCAGTCAGTATGTAGACTCAGGAGCATCTGCGACCAGTTCAAACTGGCCTCAGGAGCCAAGGTAAATTGAAGCAAGAGCAAAGCTGTGTTCTTTGGGAACTGGGCCAACTGATGCTATATCCGCTTCACTGTCAGGACAGATTACCTGAAGGTTTCCAGAATATGGTTTGGAGGGGCTGGGGTATGTGCAAAAACTCAGGAGGAGTACATCACCAGGGTGAGGCAGAAACTGGGCTTTTGGAAGCACTGCTATCTCTCCATTGCGGATAAAAGCCCGGTCATCAGGTGTGAGGCACTGTGTTGTTGTACATGGCGCAGGTCTGGCCCGATCCCAGAGCCTGCATTACTGCTGTCACCCAAGCTGTCTTCCTCTTCATCTGCAGGTCTAAGATGGATTGTGTCCATAGTGACACCATGTACAAAAGATCTGTATTGGGAGGGGATGGAGACATAACCAACCACCATCCTGATGGCCATCTGTGTGTGTGGTCGCATCAAGCTGGGCGTAGACCCTCAGTATGCAAACACCACGTGTCACTATGTACTGAGGTTCTACCTGTCCCTGGTATTGCGAAGGATGGGACTGGCCTCATTGCTGTAGAACGCTCCAAACAGATGGACTGTTCCGTACCACCTGTCCTTCACGGAGGAAATTTGCAAAGAAAAACACCCTTTAACCACAAGTCCATCAGGAAGTGATCACCACGTAGCATCCTTGAGACCATGCGGGAAAAAGAGAGGGTGGTTCCGATTGTGTTGTTCTCTGAGCAGACTATCAAAGTCATTTGGCAGAGTTTTCCAACAAGCACAAAGATATTGTTTGGCTAGTGGTGAGAAGGGTACTACCTGGGAGATCCTTCATGTACACCTGGCTCTCTGTACTACTGCACACTACCCTCAAAGCAGCTTCAGGGGGCTAGAGACTGTTGCACATCTCCTGCTGGAATGTGCCTTAGCAAAGGAAGTCTGGAGAGAAATGCAGCGAATTTTGTCCGGAAGTTCATCCAGAGCAGTTCCGTGATGCAGGACTCTGTGCTCTAACTGGCAGGCACACCGAGACAAACATCGATTGTGCCTAGAGGACCATCAACTCAGTCAAATATGTTCTTTAGTCTGCCCAAAACCTGCTGGTGTTCCAGAGCAAGGAGTTGACCTCAACCGAGCATTGCAGACTGGCACATTCTCAGGTCCAGGACTACATGCTGAGGGACACACTCAAACTCTGGGCAGCTGCTGCCAAGGCACAGTGGGGGAAAAACTAAATGGGTTTTCTTCATCTATAATTATCCTGAGTATCTTGCGTCATCATGTTCTAAATAATTCTAGCAACTGCAAAAATGTACTTTAGTAGGCAATGCCTCTGCTTCAAAACAACTTATTTGATTTTTCTCTTTTTGATCTGTTAAGTTTCTTTTTCCTACTTCCCAGAACAACTGGACAATGCTCATTCCTCAAGCTCACAGAGGGTTGAATGAGAGGGTAATCAATACCCATTAAACTATGCAATCATCAGGCAATGAAAATATTGCAGCACCTGGAATAACCAAACCATCCCATTTGGCAGATCATAATAATACATATCCAGAATGGAATAAGTTCCTGTAGTAATGGCATTTCTTTAGGCTCCCATGTGTAATTAGATTGGTTACAAATGCCACAAAAATAACAAACCACACAGGTTACTAGACTGAAGAATTTATTAAATAAAACATAGCAAGCCAGTCCTTCACAATGTTAATTTGATTATGTGAAGTACAATATGACAATTTATAAGAATCTTCATTTAATTCTGATTATGTATAGTGCATTTAGTCCATGGACTCATAATTTGTTATTGCACACTTATTCAGGTCACACAAATGGCCCGACTACAACAAGACATGCAAATTTTTTTTTTGGCAGGCAAATATTGCCCACAAAAGGTGACTAGAAGAAAGCAAGAATGTGGATTAAGACTGGAATGCAGTCAATTTGTGTTGTGGCTATTGCATCCTTAGTATTAAATTGAAACAAAATACAATGTCGTACCTACAGGGCTAGATTAAAACAAATACATATAAAATTAAAAATACAACTTTATACACATCTTAAAATATATTACTTAGCTTTAATTAACATTCTGCAAATGGTCAACTTTCTCAAAGAAACTTCATCTTGAACGACGATTTGTCAAATCCTTCACATTGTACAGACTTCAATTATCTATTTGTAATTCAAGTCATGAATGGCAATTTATACAATTTGAACATCTGTAGGGAAAATTATGGCTCAAGAAATACATGGATAAAACATACAGTACAGCCAAGACAAATTATAATAACCATGGGCACAGTGGCACTGAAGCACAAGTAACATTAAACTTTCTGGACCTTATGTAGAAATGTTGCATATAAAACAAAGGCTCGGGATGAACACAATTTCCCCACTATAGGGAAACTAAGCAAAATCTGGTTTTAAAATAAAACTGGCATTTTGAGTTAGTTTACATGACAGATTGCCTTCTGCAGCATTTTTATAGCTTCCCCTTCGTTCATTCAGATAAACACCACCAGGATTCCTCACCACAATTTTAAAAGTTTTTCCAGCAATTTTAAAACATTGTTAATGCTTTTAATGACAACCCATAAAAGTTTTAAGAGAATTTGAAAGGAGATGGCCTTCTCCATTAGAGACAGCAAGACCCTTCCTTCATTTGCTCATATTCTGCAAACACATTCTTTCTTACACTACCACTTTTAAGAATAAACAGTAGATCCATTGTGATTGGTTATAGCTGTGATTGGCCAACTGCTAAATATGACCAGCTTCCAGTGACAAAAATATTTTACAAGCACTAACAATCCTATAAAAGTGTTTGTGATTTTCTCTTTCTTTAAATTAATTTCACAAAAATTTGAATAAATGATCTGATATTATTTATGCTGATCCAGAAAAATTCTGGATCAATTTACATTTAGGTGGGACTTGTCAATGTTGAGGTGATTCTACCATGCACTAGAATGATGAAGAAGGAGGAAAAAAAACCTTACCAGAACGAAGTAACTAGCTTTTAAATATACCCATGTATTATTATTTAGAGCACTCTTAACTATCAGCTGAGGATTAAATTTGTGATATCATTACCAGTTTACAGAAACTTCGTCTGCAGTGGACTTCAGTACTTCTCTGCACACTATAACATGTTAAGGAACTGCAATACTTTATATAAACCATAAATGTAAAACTTGAAAATATATAATTTTATATTATTTATCACAGTGGTTGTCACATAGTCCTATCATTTCTCTCTCCTGTGCAGACTTACCACACAAAAGTGGATAATTTCAGGAGCTGGTTGTCTACTGTTTGATTACATGAACTAATAAAGAGAGATGTCAGTTGAAAAAAAGAATGTGCAGTTGAATTGCTCCTGAACTGGGCAAAGGTGATGCATCAATTTATAATGTGAAAATAATGCTCAGTAAAAAAAAAAATGTATAAAGTAAAGTAATGTACTGTATAATTTATAAATTACCATCCAGGTCTGAAGGGGACAATATTGATCTTGCTTGCAGACGCAAATTTGCCAGACTTATGTGCAGACTGTCCGCAGAATCCATTTGTCAATAAAAAGTGGATGCAGTTGCAAATACACTTCATGATGAATCGCCACAAAGCAATGAGTGTAAGTATTCCAAGAGTAACTTACAAAAAATTAGCAATCATTGACCAGCTCTGTCATTTTAGTGATGTGTTATACTGTACCCAAAAGGCAATCATGCATCAATTCTGCACTTTCATGGAGGCTGTCTCAGGCAACTATACAAGGACATGTATCTGGAAATCATTTCTTAGGGTTATGAGAACCTGTCTAAACTGAAGCATTTCAGGACAAACAAATCATTTATAAATACAATTACATATAGTCTCTCTCTCTCTCTTGATATATATATATCTCTCTGGGCTTTTATTTTCTTGGAATGGCCAATATGATAAATCGTTGGAACAATATTAGCCGTTAACAATGCACAGAAAGAGAAACGTACACTCAGCGAACTGCACATACTGAGTACAACAAACTGCAAGTTTTCCGGGAAAGGATAGTGGCACGAATGATCCAAAAGACAGATGATATAGCTGAAAGCACATGAACAGCGGCTTCATAATACTGTAAACATAAAACTTTCATACATCACAGTCGCTCAGCAACTTCTGTTGGTGTCTCCCTTGAAGGCCACACTGTGGATGAACGTGGATCCATGGCTGAATGCATGATTGGAACATACACATCATCCATATTTGGCATAACAAAAATTTTCTGCAATATTTTTGATAAGAAATGTAATGATTAAATTTTGGCCTATTTCTTTGACAAGTCCAGTAGTTAGTTTTAGTATTCTATTAAAACGCCAATGTCCATCACATGCATATTTTTAAAAGATATTCAATATCACCTTACTGAGAAATGTTTGCATTCTGAATCAAGTTTACTACCATCAAAAATAAAATGTTTATGATATAAATTGTTATTGTTAGAAGCTTAAAACTGATAACTTGTCAGAACATTAGAAACAATAGATTTCTAAGTAACTTTTAAAACTTCTAGCCATTCTGTTACAACTTATGCTGAGTGAATGCCACCAAATCTTGTCAAAAATAACCAGTGAGGAGCAGAAGTTCACCCGTTAGATTTAGTACAGCTCTCCAAAATAAAAACTATACTTTTGAATAGGAATCTGTAGCATTTCATCCAAATTACAAAATACTCTAGTGCACACACACATGCCATATTTCACCATTAACGGAAGAAAATATTCAATAGCATAAAGATGCACATCTAAGAATACTTTCCTTGTAAAAATATTTCTTTGTGCAGTTAAGAAAGATAAACTGCTACCAATCCCCATCATTGGTGAGGAGAAATGTGATACTTTTTCTGTTTTATTTTGATCGGCAGGCTAGTGGAAAAGTGCTATACTGCAGTTGAGAGTCAGAATACAGCCGTGACATGTGGCAAAAGCAACGTGTTTCCAGTGAAACTAGCGACTTTTGTTGTCACCAATAGTTGATAAGGATTGGACCCAAGTCTAGTTTAATAAACATAATTTGATTGCTGGACATTGTCATTACAATCTGATTATTAATAGGATTTGTTTTCTTGTTGCAGTTCTTTTTCAAAGAATAACACAAAACAGCTTTTATTTCATTTCCATGAGGAGGGGAGGAAATTGGAAAACAGTTCAATGAAAATAAAATTAAAATGGCATTACTAATGAAAACATTTTACAAGTCCCTAAGAAATTAAATTTTCTTTGTTCCCATGATTACCTTCAGTGCCTTGCTTAAGAGGCTATTGTTACTGTCTGAGCCTCAGGTAACACATTTTAAAAACAATTTGAGTTATTTACTGAAAGATGATCCTATTTATGAATAAAAATTGACATACATCTCTTATGTACATTTGTTACAACAACATTACACTTTAGGAAAGAAGTTAGAGTCTATGAGTGGATGCAGAAGGGATTTACCAGAATAGCTCAGTGATGACACAATTTAGCTACAAAGTTCAGCGATAGTAAGAACTGCAGATGCTGGAGTCAGAGATAAAGTGTGGAGCTGGAGGAATACAGCAGGCCAGGCAGCATCAGAGGAGCAGGAAAGTTGATGTTTTGGGTTGGGATCCTTCTTCAGACCACTTCTTCAAGGTGGGCATCCTTGGAAGAGACTTTGCAGTGGGGTTATAACTCACTCAGAGATAGCAAGAACTGCAGATGCTGGAGTCAGAGATAATAAAGTGTGGAGCTGCAGGAACACAGCAGGTCAGGCAGCATCAGAGGAGCAGGAAAGTTGACGTTTCGGGTCGGGACCTTTCTTCAGACAACTTCAAGGTGGGCAAGCATTATAACCCCACTGCAAAGCCTTTTCCAAGAATACCACCTTGAAGAAGTTGTTTGAAGACGGGTCCCATCCGGAAACGTCAACTTTCCTGCTTCTCTGATGCTGCCTGGCCTGCTGTGTTTCTCCAATTCTACACTTTGTTATCAGCTACAAAGCTGTTCTCCATGGAGTAAAGAGCAATTTGAGGGGAGATTTGATTGAAGTGTACACGATAATGACAGTGTTTGGGTAAAGTAGCCAAAGAAAATCTGTTCCCACGAGTTGACAGGACAGGGACCAAGGGAAATAGATATATTATTTGGGCAAGAGATGCCAAGGGGTGCAGAATATGAGGAAGAGCTTTTTGTTTTAAAGATGTGAGTGATAATGACTTGGAAGTTGCTGCCTTTGAAGTCGGTGGATGGATACTTGAAGGAAATACATTTGTAGGCTACAGAGATAAGAGCGGGGGATTGAAACCAACTGACTGGCTCTGAAGTGCTGGCATGGACTCAGTGAAACAAACAGCCTCATTTGCTGTCATTTTTAATTCCATAACAGGGGAGAATACAGAATAGAAAATGAACAGTCAGAAACATGGATTGACAGCAAAATTCAGGTAAGCTCAATTAATTTCTTACCTGGAACTCTTGTTCCAGTTTCTTTTCAATCCAGTCAGTTACATGTGCAATAGTAACTTCACGCTCACCCAATTTGGGACGAGCTTTTAACTCTAAGTGTGGTGGCGTACGGAAACCATACCTTTGAACAAGAATGATAGATCACATTAGTCAACTTAAAAGGCTTTTAAGCAAAATAACAAACCCGCTAATGCTTCAAGGAGAAACTTAAAGTCCAGAGAAGATCAAAAAGCAATGGGACACAACCATAGAACTGAGAAATTTAAAACTTCCGGTGTTACCAGGTGCTAACCACCAGCCTATGTTTTATTACAAATTTAGGTATCCTATCACTTTAAAATTGCATAAAATATATCACTCCTGAGTTAATGTAGTACTGGATGGCTGCTCATAAAATTGCTGTTAATACTTCACAGAACCAGGGGGCAATTCCAGTAAAATTTGTAACTGCTTGCCCTTACCATATTCTGTCAGTAGGTGGTGATGGAATGTTCACAGCCAATGTTCCTTTGCACTCCTGAACCTCTACTGTTAACAGTAACGGTGTATTTGAAACCTCTTCAATTTTCTTCTTAATAAATTCTGTTTCTGTGGCTTTCTGGAAATACTTTGACTTTGTAATTTTATCCACAAGTCTCATTATCTTGCTTGGTCGATGTCCTCCCATATATCTGCACATGTGGGAAATAGTTAATATTTGTCACTGAATATTCCAAACATTTACATTTTGTTTAATTCCACAGTATCAGACATTTGAGCAAATGGTTTCCCCATGCATTGAATATTCATATCAACTTCAAAATATTTTTGAAATTCATTCTCCATCACGGATTACAGATGCTGCTGGCTTATAGAGTATAAAAAGCAAAGTACATCAAGGGTGGGGATTGTGTTTCTTGCAAAATGTTGATGCTCATATATTCTTAAATCATGAATAACCTCAAGATGTACACTGATATATCCTTAATGGCTGCTGTAAAGCTATCAAAATAGAATTAAATCTATATCTTGCATCTCCATCACAAATAAATGCAAAATTTGTTGATTGTGTGGACTGAAAACAGCAAACAACCCTGGCAGTATCATTGTTGGAAGCAGATAATTATAGTAATTGGTTAATTGGTAATTACAGACATCTTTATTGAGAGGAAAAATGGTGCTATGATCCATGTTAGAATGAATCGTATTACAGGAAAGAATGTAACTTAAACATCTTAGAGTCCTAGAGTCCCAGAGTCCCTACAGTGTAGAAACAGGCCATTTGGCCCAACAAGTCCACACTGCCCCTCCGAAGAGCATCCCCCCCAGACCCATCTCCTACCCCTGCATTTCCCAGTCTAACCTAAACATCCCTGGTCACTATAAGCAATCCAGCTACCCTGCACATCTTTGGACTGTGGGAGGAAACCCGCACAGACATGGGGAGAACGTGCAAACTCCACACAGACGGTGGAATCAAACCCGGGTCCCTGGTGCTGTGAGGCAGCAGTGCTAATCACTAAGCCACCATGCTGCCCATACAGCACCGAAACAGACTCTTCAGTCCATCTTGCCCAAGCCGCCAAGAAATCCTAAATTAATGTAGTCCCATTTGCCAGCATTTGGACCATATCCTTCTGAACCCCTCCTATTTATGTACACGTCCAGATGCCTTTTGGTATAGGAGTTGAGACATCTTTTTGCAGCTGTACAAGATGTTGGTAAGACCATATTTGCAATACTGCGTGCAGTTCTGGTTATCCTACTATAGGAAAGATATTATTAAACCAGAAAGAGTGCAGAAAAGATTTACTAGGATGCTACCTAGACTGGATGCTTTGAGGTATAAGGAGAGGCTGGATAGGCTGGGACTTTTTCTTTCCCTGGAGTACAAGAGACTGAGGGGTGACCTTAATGGAATCTACAAAATCATGAGAGGCATAGATAAGTTGGATACGCCAACAGCTTTCCCCATGTTAGGGGAGTCTGAAACTAGTGGCCATAGTTTAAGATGAGAGGGTAGAGATACAAAAGGGTCCAAAGGGGCAATTTTTTCACCCAGATAGTGGTGAGTGTCTGGAATCGGCTGCCAGAGGTGGTGGTGGAAGCGAGCACAATTTTGTCATTTAAGAAACATTTGGACAGGTACATTGATGGGATGAAGGAATATGGACCAAACGCAGGCAAATGGCACTAAATTACTTGTGAAAACTGGGCAGTATGTTGAGCCAAAGGCCTGTTTGCATGCCATAAAACTCTGTGTCTCTAAATGTTGTAATTGTACCAGCCTAGTTTAGGATTTGCCTGCCCTGTGAAAAAGACCTTGGCCATTCAACCTATCCACGTCCCTCACGACTTTATAAATCCCAAAAATTCACTTCTCAGCCTCTGACGGTCCAGAGAAAATAGCCCCACCCTATTCAGCCTCTCACTACAGCTCAAACCCTCCAATCCTGGCAACATCCTTGTAAATCTCTTCGGCACCCTTTCAAGTTTAACAACATCTGGGAGACCAGAATTGAATGCAGCATTCCAAAAGTGGCCTAATCAATGTCCTGTATAGCTGCAAAATATGACCTCCTAACTGCTTTACTCAATGCACTGACCAATACCATCTTAAACAATGGGACAACATTGGTTAATCACCAGTCCTCTGGAAACTCACCTGTGGCCAAAGAGGATAAAAAGATGTCTGTCAATGCTCCAGCAATTTGTTCCCTTGCCTCCCTCAATATTCTGGGACAGATCCCATCAGGACCCAGGGACTTATCTACCTTAATACTTTCTAAGACATACAACACCTCTTCCTTTTTAATAGCAACTTGGCTTAGAAATTTGTCACTCCCTTCCCGAAGATCATTCTCCACCAATGCGTCCTCTTTGATGAATACCAACACAAAGTATTCATTTAGGACCTTACCTATCTCTTTTAGCTCCACATAGAGATTCCCTCCTTTGTCCTTAAGTGGGCAAACTCCTTCCCCGGCTACTCTCTCGCTTTTTATATATGTATTAAAAAGCCTTGGGATTCTCCTTAATCCTGTTTGCTAAGACTTTTTATGATCCCCTTTAGCCCTTCTAATTCGTTGTTTAAGTTCTATCTTACTTTCCTTATATACTTCAAGGGCTTGTCAGTGCCCACCCTCCTAGACATTACATATGCTTCCTTTTTCTTCTTGACAAAAGTCATAACATCCCTGGCCATCCAAGGTTCTGTAATTTACCATACCTATCCGTCATTCTAACAGAAACGTGCCACTCCTGAACTCTTAACAATTGCTATTTGAAATACTTCCACATGTCCAATGTGGATTTGATTGATTTATTTATTGTCACGTGTACCAAAATACAGTGAAAAAGCTTTGTTTACAAGTGGTACAGGCAGGTCACAGCAAGCAAAGGATGTACAGATCAAAAAGACCTAGAGGCATACAGGTTACATTATTTCAAGCTAGAGTCCATTCATCAGTCTAATAACAGCCAGAAAGAAGCTGTTCCTGAACCTGCTTGTGCATGGGTTCAGGATTCTGCATCTTCTGCTTGACAGAAGAGGTTGTAAGAGGTCATTACCAGGGTGCGTTGGGTCTTTGATGATGTTGGCTGCCTTTCCGCAGCAGCAAGCTGTATAAATGGAGTCCATGGATGGAAGGTTGACTTCTGTGATGGTCTGGGCTGTGCACACCACCTTCTGTAGTTTCTTACGGTCCTGGGCAGAGTAGTTGCCATACCAGGCCATTATGCACCCGGACGTATGCTTTCAATGGTGCATCTGTAGAAGTTGGTGAGGGACCTTATAGACATGCTGAATTTCCTAACTTCTCCCCTCTGGTGATTCAAAATGCCCTCCAACGCATCTCTTGTGTTTCTCACACCTCTGCCCTCACATCACTTTCCCCCCCAACAAAAACAAAAATAAAGACAGAATCCCCCTTGTCTTCACATATCACCCCACCAAACTCCGCACCCAACGTACCATTCTCCACCACTTCCGCCACCTACAATCCGACCCCACAACCAAAGATATATTTCCCTCCTCACCCTTATCTGTCTTTCATAGGGACCACTCTCTCTGTAACTCTCTCATCCACTCCACACTAACCCCATCACCCCCGGCACCTTTCCCTGCAACCGCAGGAAGTGCTACACCTGCCCCTACACCTCGCCCCTCACCTCCATTCAAGGCAAAAAACAAACCTTTGACATCAGACATGAGTTCACCTGCACATCCGTCAACTTGGTCAACTGCATCCGCCGCACCCGATGTGGCCTCCTTTACATCAGTAAGGCCAAACGGAGACTCGGAGACCATTTTGTACAGCATCTGTGCTCCATATGCGACAAACACCACCTTCTAGTCGCAAAACATTTTAACTCCCCATCCCACTCCCACTCCCACTCCCTGGGTGACGTGTCCATCCTGGGCCGCCTCCAGTGTCACAATGACGTCACCTGCAAACTGGAGAAACAGCATCTCACTTTTTGCCTCGGGAGACTACGGCCCAATGGCCTAAAAGTGAATTTTACCAGTTTCCCAATCTCCCCACCCCCGACCAACCCTCCCTCTCATCCCTGCCTCCTTGACCTGACACAACCTGTCCATCTTCTCTCCCACCTATCCACTCCACCCACCTCACTGACCAATCCCCACCACTGACTACATGCACCCACCTATCATCCCACCTACCTTCCACAGCCCCACCCCTCCGCTCTCTATTTCTGAGCTCCCTTTCCTTCCGCCCACACCCCCACCTTTCTGAAGATGGGTCCTGACCTGAAACGTCAGCTTTCCCGTTCCTCTGATGCTGCTTGTCCTGCTGCTTTCCTCCAGGTCCACACTTTGTTATCTTTTCAGCCAGGTGTTTGGCACTGGTAATAATCCCGAGATAACAACTTTGAGGTCCTAAATTTCAACTAGTCCTCTATATAGTCCTCTATATTCTGCTTTTAGGACTTCATCTCTTTTTATTAAAACTTATGTCATTAGTACCAATGTGTACCATGACAACTGCCTGTTCACCCTCCCCCTCCAGAATGTCCTGCAAACACTCGGAGACATCCAGGACCCAGCACCAGGCAGGCAACACACCATCCTGGACTCATTTGCGGCCACAGAAACACCCATCTCTTCTCCTTACGATTGAATCCCCTACAACTATAGAATTTCTATGCCTATTTCTCCCTCTGCAGCACAGCCAACCACGGTGCCATGAATTGGGCTGCTGCTGTTATCCCCTGAGAGGCCATTCCCCTCAAAAGTATCCAAAACGGTATATCTGTTTTGCAGGGAAATAGCCACAGGAGATTCCTGCACTGCCTGGTGGTCACTCATTCCTTTCCTGCCTGTGGGGTCTGTATCTACAATGTGACCACCCCTCTATATGTCCATTCCATGATATTCTCAGCCTCGAAGTCTCCAGTGTCCCCAGATGCCGCTCCAACTCCGAAACTCGGGTTTCCAGGATCTGCAGCTGGAGCTACTTCTTGCATACACATAGGTCCCGGGCACTGGAAACGTGCCCGGCTTTCCACATCGAGCAAGAGGAGCAAAATACAATTTGGAGCTCTCCTGCCATGTCCTACCCCCTTACCTTAATTAATCCTTACAATGTCAAATACTTTTAATACTGAATTGAAGCTTCTGATGCTCTCTGCTCTGATAACAATTTCTCAAAGTGTACCTGCTAATCACCAA